TGTATAATATCTCATTAAATTCTTGAAACAGCATTAAGGGGTATGTACTGTCACTTGTCTAGTTATGGAGACGAGGAACATAGGCACAGAGATTAAATAAGTTTCCCAAGCTCACACAGCAAGGAAATGATATTACCTACGTTTGACTCAAGACAACTAAATGTGAAAACTAATGATCCTAACTGTGAGTGTGTGGACTTAACTGTACTTTTTTTTTTTTTTTTTGAGACTTTGATCGGATTTGCAAATGGAAGTTGGCAGAGGGCAAGTGCAGATGGGGAAGGTCAGTCCTGGACCCAGGGCCATCAGGGAAGTGGTCAGAAAATGCCTGTGAATGAGTTTGTGTGAACGTGTGGTAGAGAGTTGGTTACGCAGAGTTAAGTTCAGAGAGACTTCGATGTGAAGGTTTTGCGGACCAGTGGGATGCTGTTCCTAGTAGCACTCATTACTAGGAAATCAAGGAACTGATGATCATTATCCTATTCCACGGGCAGAACATCCTCACTGTTCTGTTTCACAGGACACAGACTCTGAAGTCTGCATGGCACCTCACACTAAATGCCAGGACCTACTGAGGCTTTTGAGAAGTAGAGAAATTTCCCTTGGCTCACACGTGCAGGAGAAAAACCTGGTGCTGGTCTGGGGAGGTAGCTCAGCTGACAAAGTGTTTGTCTTGCAAACAGGAGGACCTGATTTGAATTCCCAGCAGGTGTACAGGATGCTGGGCATAGTAGCTTTGAAATCCCAGCACTAGGGCAGAGAGATATACTGGGCTCACTGGCCAGCCAGCCTAGCCTCCTAAGTTCTAGGCAGGAAGAGACCCTGTCTCAAAAAAGAGAGGTGGCGTATGGAGGGTGGCTCAGCAGAGGACCCGAGTTCAGGTCCTGGTCAGGTGGCTCAAGTTGCCTATGAGTCAGCTCCAGGGGATCTATTTCCTTCCGGCTCCCTCAGACACTGCATGTGTGTGCACAAACCATGCACGGGCACACACACGTACACATAACGTTTTTTTTTAACAGAAAGGTAGGCGGGGCCTGAGGAATGATACCTGAGGCTGTCTTCCAGCCTCTACTCACGTGAGCATGAGCATATGAGCACAAAGAAAACCTCAGTGTTTGGTAAATGATACCGAAAGGCTCTGCCCTCTGGAGCATCCCTAACTACTGAAACGCTGCCCTTCCAAGTCCTTGGAGCCTTTGCGCTCTAGAGGGCCGGGGAAGTGTGTCTCATCCAGGGGCTTCTACCCTCGGCTGCCCTGCAGACTCCCTAGGACTGACCCGAGGAAGAGGAGCCCACCCTATTCAACTGCCAATGCTCCTGGATACCTTATCCAGGGTTAAAGCCTTTTCAGTGACTGGCCACTATTTCACTGTGAAAGTCTAGCTTTTCTCCCTGTAGCCCGTGACAATACCAAACGATATATTGCTACCTGCTTGAAGCGGGTTTCAATTTGTTCTGATTCATTGCCTGCCTCACAGTCCCTCTAAAATCTCAGTGTATGGACTTGACTTCCGGGTGGTTCCCAGAGAGAAGGGCGTCTGGATTCCAGGGAATGTGAGTGTCTTCAGACTCACAGAAAGCCTCCAGGATCCCTGCAAAGGTCTCCTAAGCCTTTAAGTATTTCCTCTCTTAAATCACACAACACAGCCCAGGCAGAACATTGTCAAGCCCCTCCCTCCTTGTGTGTAGACAGTCGTTTGCTCTCCTGGCTAGACAGGCTGTCCTTCTTGGCTGTCGGCTGCATTGTGCTTTTCTTGGGTTTATTTGAGTGATGTTTTTAAGGTTGTGTTTGGGGGAGGGGAGGTTTTCCCTGAAAGAAATGGTTTCTTCAGTTGGCCTTGGAAACATGAGTTTGAATCTCTTTTGGCGTGTTTATGGCCTGGATGACAGACCAGGCATGTGAAAGGAAGCGTTATCCATCACTTGTGCCAATGCTGTGGCTTTTATTTGACATCTTTCCATTTAGGTGATGCGAATCCCTAAAACCAGCCCGGTGATGTATCACCACTTAGCAGGACACACGGCTAGTCTGCCAAGCTTTGGTCTCCGGGTACAATTTATTTTTACTTCAACCTAGAATAGGTCTCTTAGTGTCTGTCGGGTGGTCGGTTGATCTGAGCAGGTTATGGGCATGGCACCCAATGAGGCACAATATGCCACGCACGATATCACATCAAGTTCACACATGTGAGAAATGGCCAGTACTAGGGGCCAAATGACCCTCAAATTATGTTGAAACTCCATCCCCAATACAATAGTGTGAAGAGGTGTAGGAGGTTTCCAAGGTAACCGGGTCACGAGGTCTCTCCTCTTCTGCCTTGTGGAACCCCAGCAACAAGGCCCCACTTTCCAAGGAGACACAGGCCCCACCAACACCAGCTGAAGCTACTTGATCTTGGCTCTGAATTATGAAAAACAAATTTTACATTTTATCAATTGGTTTTAGCACTTTTACAGATATATACATGAACTAACTTGTTTATTGAACTAATCAAGCTCTTGCTCCCATGACTGTAAGAAAAAGCATTATGGGCAGGGCAGTGAAAACAATACTTCCCAATGGCAGGGGCCACAGGATGGAGAATGTGGCAACCATGCCAAGTTCTTGTACTTTTCTGAAACTGATAATCAATGTTATACGTAATGCCCTTAGATGTACAGCTTTTGAGTATATTTGGAAATGCCTTGTCAACACACATAAAAAGCTTGCAAACCACTAGTCCATTCACAACAATATCAATAGACACTAAGAAAATCAATCAATCAATCAATCTCTCTCTCTCTTTCTCTCTCTCTCTCTCCCTCTCTCTCTCCCTCCCTCCCTCCCCATCCTCTTCCTCTCTCTCCCTTCCTAGACCCCCTCTCCAGTTATTTACCATTCTTTTCTTTAAATTTTGTGGGCTTTTTTTCCTTTCTGAGACAGGCTAGCTTCAAACTCATGGTGGCCAAGGACAGTCTTGATTCCCACTCCTCCTGCCTCCACCTGCAGAGTGCTGGGGTCACAGGCACGCACCGCTACACTCGGTGTAGGAAATGCTAGGTAGGGATCAAATCCAGGGCTTCAGACTTGCTGGACCAGCACCCTGCCAGCTGAGCTCCAGCCTCTGCCCTGAGAGATTTTGCACCCGTATAACTGTGGTTTTGTTGATTTGTGCTCCTGGGTTTGGTGCCTGCTGTAACATCTTGCCTGATATGGACTAGGTGCAAGTCTGGGGAAGAGAGCAGGGTGCTGGATTCTCCTGGTGTCTTAGTTACTTTTCTAATGCTGTGGTAAGACACCATGACCAAGGCAACTCACAGAAGAAAGCGTGGAATGACTTTTGAACACTCCAAGCCCACCCCCAGTGCACGCCTCCTCCAACCAGACCACAACAGACCCCCTAATTCTTCCCAAACAAGTTCACCAACTGAGGACCAAGTTTTGGAACATAAGAACCTTTAGGGGCCATTCTTATTCAAGCCACCACATCTGGTCTTGGGGAAACCCTCTAAGTTTCAAAAATGCTACTCACTGGAAATTTTCACAAAAGTTGAGTATGAGAGACAGCTGACTTGAAAGTTCAAAGTCGTCTTTCCAACCCTGCCACTGTCAGAGGCCATGATAGTGCATTGTCTGTGCACTGAGGTATTTTTATGAAGGATATGAGTTGTGACGCATAAGAATATCAGGAGTGCTGGGCGGTGGTGGCGCGCGAACCTTTAATCCCTGCACTTGGGAGGCAGAGGCAGGTGGATTTCTGTGAGTTTGAAACTAGCCTGGTCTACAGAGTGAGTTCCAGGACAGCCAGGGATACACAGAGCAGAGAAACCCTGTCTTGAAGGGGAGGGGAAAGAAAATCTGGAGGGCTTATTGAAGCACCTGGACCCTAGTTCTACTTCTGTGATGCTGGCAGAGTCATCTCTTCCAGGAAACTCAGCCTCCTCATCTGGAAAATGGGCATAAAGTCTCATCTCATAATGTTATTAAATAAGGTATCTGCAGGGCAGCCAGGTCTTCAATGAATGTTCTCTTCTCTGCACCTGATAATGTAAGCCAAGACTCACTCACTGGGCCATGGTTTCTATTTCTGAGTGTCAAATAGCTAAGAACTAGCTGTTGGGATGGTGAGACATGCCTTTTTAAGGAACTCACCCATTTCTTGGCTGGATGTGGCTGAATCAGGGGCAGAGGGAAATCTTAGTGCTAGATATATAGCTAGTATTTACAACCTCGTAGGGTGTAAGGAAGAAGTCTGAGCTGTGTGATACCTTGTGACAAACAGACTTCATTTTTTAAAAATGCGCAATACAGGGGTTGAGATGCCTACCTAAGGACATCCTGACGACTGTGGTGGAAACCACTGGGTTCTTTGTCAGCCCCCTGCCTACGTCTCTTCGCCCCCCTCCCGCTGCCAGCCCTCTTACAGCTGGATAGGGCCAGTGAAAAGCGGACCAGTCCTGATGATCCCCTGCCATCTCCCCTCCCCATTTGCCACATGGCTAGCAACACCTAGGATGACCTTGGAAATGACATGCTCAAGATGCAGTGCCTCAGGAACCCTGGGTCCCTCAGAGGCCCCGAGGAGCGGCACACTGCCCCAACATCTAGACTTGAGCCAAGTAAGCAGCTCTTCTGTGCCGCTGAGATTCCAAGGTGTACCTGTAACCATGCTGGCTTTCTCTTAACTAATAAACCTGCTGAAACAAGGGATCTGTTTTAAAAAATGTGCCCCTCTTAGGACAATACTTGACATTCCTCAGAACAGGTCAGCACATTTTATGTTTGGTCACCATGGGAGAAAAAATTTCATAGTTGCCTAAAAATTAACTCTCCCATTTATTTAAAATATTCTCTGTCTGTTGATCATAAGGCACATGGAATGTGGTTCTCTGTCAGTGAGAGGTCTGGTTTTTTGTTGTTTTTTTTTTTAACCCAACAGTTTTCAGCCGAAAGCTGGAGTTAGTGATTAACTATAAGAAGTGTGCTTTAGATTAGATTAAACACGCCTGCTGCCAGGTGCTGGGCTGAGTGGGGGATTTCAGAAAGAAGAGGAGAAACAACTGTATTATTTTTCTCAATCTTAAACTCAGAAATTAGAAAATTAGTCAGTTTTTCTCTAAATATTTGTCTGAATTGGTATCTTAGGTTTATAGTGCCCTCAACAAAGCAGAAATTTTATCTTCCCAGACTTCAGCTTCAGCAAGTCTAAAATGAAGGGTAGCATGTCCTAGGACTGAGAAGCAAGTGGGGCCTAGTCTGTTAAAGCTAGAGTCACCACCAGAAATGTAAGAAAAGCAGCTGGAGGGGGGCAGTCACATCTACCCCGGCCTGATGCATGGCACAGTGCATATACATAATGCACACAGTAAGTATCAAGGCCTTTGACCCTTCCTCAGTAGCTTCGCTTGTTGGAGTTTGCTTTGGAGTTATGAACTTGAGTGATCATCTTTGGCTGCTTCCCCCAATCATTAAATGATGCTGGCAACCACTCTGTCATCACATTGACTGTTGTCCTTTTTGATGGTTTCTGCTGGTCCCTTTCGGCTGGTTGCTGTGGCATTTATCTTCTTTGGATCCCTCCTCTTAGGGGAAAGAATAGGAAGTAGCCATGGAAGAAATCATTGTTAAGAATAGGAGCAGCGTTTACAGTAGTAGCTGGTGTCGCTTGACTTAGAGCCAAAACTGGCTGGTTCCACAGGAGGAGATTAGCAGAACTCGGAGCTCTGGACATCCTGCCAGCTCAGCATCTATGGCTAGGAGAAATGGAAAGAGGAAATAGGTAAGGAGAAAAAGATGTCCAGAGTTTGAAATCCCTTTGAAGCTAAAAATGATGTGGCCAGGCATTAAAACAACAACAACAAAAACATGTTGCCCAGCGGAATATACCGACGCTTTCAAGATGGTGTCAGTTGATTGCCAGTGACTTGAGGGACTTCAGGGAAACCTCCCCTCCAAATAGCTCCTCATCCAGTGTACCTTGGCTAAGGTAGGCTCACCTAACCTCTTTGGATTGGGGTAATGTTTATCTTCTTTCACGCATGTGTTTGCCTAGTAGATATCCATTGACCTCCTCGCCTCCTCCAAAATGCCACACAGGGTTCTGCCATTAGTCTAGTTAACATTAATACACGAGAAATCTGTGCTATAGATGGGGGGACCCAGAGGAAAAAAAAATACAGGCAGGAAAAGGAATTATCATCTTGGGGGATTGGCGGGGGAGCAAGACACTCACTTGGATTTGGGATGAGCATGCATCATGGAGAGTAATACCCAAGAGGAAGTTGCCTTTGCCAGGCAAAGGGGAAAAGGAGAGAAGATGAGGTGGAGTTTACGGCCAGGCAGAATGAGCAAGGATTTGCTAAGGCTGGAGACCAGGGAGTAACAATGGTGTTTGAATGGGATGGGATGGGGTAGGTCCTAGCACTTCCTGGTTTTGCTAAGGACTTCTCTTTTAAAATACTTTTATTAAGGCTTAGAGAGATGGCTCAGTGGTTAAAGAGCACTGGCTGCTCTTCCAGAGGACCTGGATCTGATGCCCTCTTCTGGCATAAAGGGATACATGCAAATAGAGCACTCATATACATAAATAAATAAACCTCAAAAAAAGATACCTTAAAAAAGTTATTATAAGCCAGGCGGTGGTGGCACATGCCTTTAATCCCAGCACTCGGGAGGCAGAGGCAGGCGGATCTTTGTGAGTTCAAGGCCAGCCTGGTCTACAGAGCGAGATCCAGGAAAGGCGCAAAGCTACACAGAGAAACCCTGTCTCAAAAAAAAAAAGTTATTATAAAAATATCTTTATTAATTCTGTGTGTTTTTCATACAATGTATTTTCATCATACTCTTAGCTCCTCCTAGCTCCACCATGACCTTCCTACCACCCCAACTTTGTGTCTTTTTTTAAGTAAATATTTTAATTAATTCTTTGAGAATTTCATGCAACATATTTTGATCAGACCCATCCTCAGCTCCTCCCCCTCACTCATTCTGGATCCATCCCTTCTGATTCTATATTTTAAAAAATTTAATAGCCCATCTACTTCAATTGATACCCAATGTATGGGGCCATGCACTGGAGCATGGACTAACCTGCCAGGAGCCACACACTTCACCTCTCTCCCCCAGAAGCCATCAGCTCTCCATAGCTCCTCGGGGTGGGGGTTTTCAAACCCCTTTCCCATTCCATGCTAGAGTGGCGGCTGGCTTGATCCTGTGCAGCATCCTATGGGGGCAGCCACGGCTGCTATGAGTGCAGGAGCGGATCGTCCCATCATGTCTGGAAGACACTGCCTCGCTCTGGTCCTCCCTGACCTCTGCCCCCTTCCACAGTGGTCCCTGAGACTTGGGGGGTGGGGCATGGATGTCCCATTTGAGGCTGAGCATGCCAGCCGCTGACTCTGTCTGCATTTTGACCAGTTAAGAGTTTATACATTAGCCACGGTCCACGGCACAAAGAAGCTTCTCTGAGGAGGTCCGAGAGTGGCATTGTTCTATGAGTAGAGAGATGGGAATTTAGAGAGTAGTAGAATATTAATTCTGCTTGGCAAAATAATAATAGTAGGTTCACCCTGCAGCTGTAGACTTCCCAACCCCTGGTTCTTGGCCAGACTTACAGTACCAGGCATGTGGTTCCTCCTGCGGTGCTGTGGACTCCTTCATTCAGGTCAAAGGCTTCTCATTTATCCCAAGGTCAGTAGGAAACCTTAAGGTAATAAGGGGGCTGTAGTTAAACTTTCTTTGGATTTACAGCTCCTGAATAATGACACAGAGACTTTATTAATTATGAATGCTTGGCCTTAGCTTAGGCTTGTTCCTAACTAGCTCTTAAAACTTAAATTAACCCGTTTATATTAATCTATGTTTTGCCATGTGGCTTGTTACCTCTCCTCAGTACCATATATCCAATTTCCTCTGTGGCTGGCTGGCCTCTTATTCTTTCCCAGAGTTCCTTTCTCTCCCCAGAAGTCCTGCCTATCCTCTCCTGCCTAACTATTGGCCATTCAGCCTTTTATTAAGCCAATCAGAGGGTGCCTTAGGCAGGTGAGGAAGAACAGAGACACATCTTCACTGGGTGTACAAAAAGATGATCCTAACAGGGGGCGGGAAGCCAGTTTCTGCTCTTGGTTTACAGTGTTACTCAGGGTAGAATCTCAGAGAGGAGCTGATTGAAACTGTCTGGGGAGATGGGTGGCTTGGCCAGTGGAGGCAGTAAACTTGTGTAGAAGTGGGTGGATTCAATCACAGTTGCAGGACGGTTAAGGGCTCAGCTGTGGAGACAGAGGCCCTGGGTTTGAATTTCTGCTTTACCCCTCAATGACCAGCCTTTTGACTACCAGGTTAGCTTCTCTAAGCCTTGGTCCCTTCATCTGCAAAAAGACCTGCTGGGTCAACTTGGTGTGTGATGTAATTGATACAGTGCCATCCTGCTCTCTTAGGGTCGAAAGTGAAGTCTTCAGGAAATGTTACTTTTCTGTTGCTGCAAGGCAGGGAGGGGTAAGGTTTCAGCTGAGTTGTGACTTGCCTTAAATTGGTACATTCAGATACATTCGCTTTCTGTGGCTGCGATAAACTACGTAAGATAAGCAGCTTATGAGAAGAAGACCCTAGGTTTAGGGATGGTTGTTCACTAAAGCATTTGCTCCACACACATGAGGACTTGGGTTCTGTTCCCAGAACTCACATAAGAGTGCTGGATATGGTGACACCCATGTCATCCTGGTGCTGAATGGGCAGAACTAGTGGCTCCCTGGGACTCCCTGGCCAGCCAGCCTCGCCAAATTGGAAATTTCCAGGTCAAAGAGAGAGACCCTGTCTTAAAAAAACACAGTGGAGAGTGACCAAAGAAGACAGCTTCGGGTGACCTCAGGCTAGGTTGACCTCTGACCTCCGTATACATACATGTGTACTCACCGAGCCCTTGTTGTATAAGCTTTTAGGGGAACAGAGCACCTCCACATGTATTTTTTCAAATGCCTAATAAAAGATGCAGAAACTGGGCAACAGGCCCCTAAATTCTGGTGAGCAGTGTGATAGAGCAAGCCCAGGGCTGCATCAGAGTCCTTCGTGGACTTGGTACACGTCAGTATGTCCTGCCTCCTGTCCTCTTTTCTAGCTCACTAATAGGAACAGCCTGAGGTTCACATTACAAGGGCATTTCTCCAGTTTATGCTCCTTTCTACAACCCCTCGGGAACGTCTGTGAGCTTTGCAGCCTGAAATAAGGGCTCACACAATGTTGAGAAGTGAGCACCCTTGCACGGTAGAGGTATTCAGCCATGACTGGAAATGCAACAGAGCTTTGTGGTTCCTCTGGCACTTATAGCCTTGGCCTGGAAGAAGTGAAGCAGAAAGACAGACATGCTGGGAGCTCCCAAGACTAAACTCTTGGCACTGACCAGAACCCCTGTACTGCCTAGTTTTTCCATGCCACAACCTAGAGTCACCTAGGTAGAGAATCTCAGCTGAAGACCTATCTAGATGAGGTTGGCCTATGGACATGTCTGTGGGGGGTGGTCTTGATTGTTAATTGACCCAGCCCACAGTGGGTGGCACCATTCCATAGGCTGGACCCTGAACTGTATTTCAGCATAAGCAGCAGAGAGCAGACAGACAGCATGAGTGCATTCATTTCTCTCTGCTCTTGACTGAGGATGTGATGTGACTAGCCTCTTGCACGTCTGCCTTGGCTTCCTCTCCACAGTGAGTTGTAACCTGGAACTGTGAGCCCAGTGGACTCTTTCCGCCCATGAATTGCTTTTGCTCAAGGTATTTTGTTGTGGCAACAGCAATGAGATCAGAACAACTTTGAAGATAGTGCTATTTAATGGTGGAACTTCCTCCTACATGTTTAAGTCATTCTATCAACATGTGTGGCGCTATTACTTTACTGACATAGAAATTTGACAGGTCTGTTCATACAAAGCCAGAGGAAAATAATCACCTCTGTTGTGTTCAAATCAGAAAATTAGCCATATTTAATTAAGTCAAATTAACATGAGAAGAGGATGATAATTGAGACCCTTGGGAGAAAACCAAGCAACTGATTAGCGCACTGTCGTGAATCCACTGGAAATATTGGACTCAGCCCTGTTGGTGAGAGGTTTAAAGTTTGAGTGAATGACGTCTAGAGGGCACTGTTGCATGTTTTGCTGAGGCTGGGCTACAAGGACCTGAAGCAGGATTCAAATAAATTTCACTACTTAAGATTACTAAAATTTTGAAAGTTTGTGGCGGGAACATTAACATATGTAGATTCACAAATAGGAAAAAATAAAAACCACCACTCAAAGGTAACTAGCATTATGGTGCAGGAGAGCCACTGTCTGGGTACCTTCTCTGTGTGTCCATGCTGAAATGGCTCTACCCTCAAAACTGAGCGTTGTTACTTCTTCACTTGACAAGGAATCAATATAGTAAACCCCAGTCAGGGTCAATAAATATTGAAACATGTTATTTATATAATTAGGTGGTAGTCAAAGTTAAACAGAAAGGTGACTCAGATCCCGTGGTTAAACATTGACATTGCCAAAGTTTTCCCCTCTTACAAACAATACTGAAACTGCCGTTACATAATTTGGATTAATGTCATTCATAGATAGAGAACTGGTGTTATTTCAAATCACGGGCGTTAGTAAGCTCCTGATATTGCCTACTAGAGGCTTGATGACTCAAAGTGTGGGCACTGCCCCTCCCTGCAGTGACTGCCAGCATCACCAGGGGCGCCCCCCTCCCCAGACCTCCTGATTAAAAACGGCATGTAAAGGTTCTAGGCGACCTAGGTTTGAGAAGCCCCGGCTGAAAGCGCCTGCATTGCCCATGGTTTCACCCGCTGCTCATGCCACCTGCTTCCCCATGGGAATCATTCCTAAAAATCATTTTCTGGGAAGGTGGGTGAGGTGAGCATGGCAGCATGTTGCTTCCTGTTTCCTTGAGTATCTCTGATGTTTTCTGCATCCCACCTTCTTTTTCTTGATCCAGTCTCCATTTACTGATGGCCTGTTCATAGCCTTCCCTGCTTTTATTTCATAATTTTTCCAAATGAATAACTTTGTCAGTAGAATTGACTTGTTTATTTTGGCCCCGTATGAAAGAAAAGTAGAAAATAACTAACATTTGCGAAACAAGAAGGGAATTAATAATTTTTGGTGCTTACCCAAAAGAGATTTTTTTTAAGGACACCAAATTTTGGCTGCCTCAAAAAGCAGTTTAATTAAGATCTACCTCATATATCATGCAATTTACTGGTTTAAAATGCACACACACACACACACACACACTCACACACGCACACACTGGAATAGCCTCCCCCCCCCCCCCCTGCAAAGTTCCATATTCCTTAGCAGCCATTCCCCTACCTCTCCTTTAGCTCCTCAGCCTAGGGAAATGCTTTTCACATAGATGGCAGCCACCAACAGATGCTCTTGGGACCTGGCTTCCCTCAGGTAGCTTTATGTTTTCAAGGGTCCTTCCTCTCATCGCTTGGGTCGCTGTTTCACCTCTTACAACCAAATAACATGGTACTTACTGCTGCAAGCCTGCTGACCTGGGTTTGAACCCAGAACTCAGGTGAAGGCAGCAGGTGAGAAGGGCTCCTGAGCACTTCCCTGTAAGCTTCTCATGTGTACTGTGACATGCATGCACATGCACACATGTGTGCATGCACACGCACAAATAATAATAATAATAATAATAATAATAATAATAATAATAATAATAATAAATAGGCTACTGAGGGCTTTCCTGTAAACTTCTAGCATATACTGTGGCATGCACACACACATAATAATAATAATAATAATAATAATAATAATAATAATAATAATAATATTGCTATAGGTGTTCATAGGACTGGATACCTTGAGACTCGAGGAAGGAGTCCTACTATCTTGTCTCCTGAAGCTTCTGTATGCTCCTGACCATGGGGTTCCCATTCAGCTGTGAAGCCAGCAATGGCAGACTGAGTTCCTCTCAAGTCAAATCTTTCTGACTTTGTTATCTTCTTCCTTCTTTCATATTTAAGGGATTCTTGTAATTAATTGAATCAACCCGGATAATCCAAGCTAACCTACCTATTTTAAAGTCATCCATTTAACTATGGTAGTTCAACCAGCTCTTTAATTTCCCTTTACCATGTCTTAGTTATGTTTCTATTACCCAGATAAAACACTAGCCAAAGGAGCTGGAGAGTGGGCTCAGTGGTTAAGAGCACATGCTGCTCTTACAGAGGACCAAGGTTCATTCCCAGCACCCGTGTAACGGCTCAGAACCATCTGTATTAGTCCCAGGAGATCCAGTGCCCTCTTCTGATCTCCATGGGCACCAGGCATGTACGTGGTGTACATACATACATGCAGGCAAAACACTCATACACCTAAAATTCATAAATTTAAAACACTGTTTTTAAGAATAGAAAAACACAGACCAAAAGCAACTGGGGAGGAAAGGATTTATTTCAGCTTAAAGCTTGTAGTCCATCATTGAGAGAAGCCAGGGTGGGAAGCTGGAGGCAGGAACTGAGTCAGAGGCTGTGAAGGACCACGGCTCACTGGCTTGCTCAGATTGCTTTCTTACACACCCTGGAACCACCTGCCCATGGATATCATCAACCTCAAATGGCCTAGGCCTTTCCACATCAAGCATTAACCAAGAAAATGTCCCTCAGACTTGCCTACAGCCCAACCTCACAGAGGCGTTTTCTTAACTG